ACTAACCCTTATCCTAACCCTAACCCTGATCCTAACCCTTACCCTAACCCCTAACCCTTACCGTAACCCTCACCCTAACCCAAACCTCTGACCCTAACCATAACCCAAATCCTAACCCCTAACCTTTACCCTAACCCTAATCGTGCTCAAATCGAGCTCGAATCGCTGTCGACAATCCTAGAAATGTGGAGTTTTGTTCCGCCACTACCAAGGAAACTCCTGCCGGAAGTTGTTTTTGGACCTTTGATATCCGGCCTTCCTCAGTGCTGAAGACAATGGGTTGAGCTATCCAGATCCGCTGCCACGGATCGTCACGTGTGGAGAGTAACAATTAATGACCGAGTAAATCAGGCATGATCTCAGCCGTACCCAGTACAATGAAGTAGGCGCAGTGAGCACTCGAACAGCATATTCTTCCCGTATCCAGCCTCATCCAACGGCAACGAAAGTCAAGACTAAGGGGAAATGGACGCAGTGCGTGGATTCAGGTCTAATTGTTGCCTACAAGCGAACTAGACTCCAAATAAAAAAGACGTTAAAACACCGCTTCCCCCGGAACAAATTTGAACAAAACGATGAAATCTGCAGAATTTATTGACGCTGCAAAGGCAGTCGTCTGAATATACACCGAAGTGGCTGCTAAGGCCGGAAAATAAGGTACCCACGAGTTCAATTATAAAGCAACTCGTGTTCACTAGCCATACGCTAAACCCACTTAAGGTCATACTTTGGGCAACCACCGGACGTCTCCTGCACTTTGTAGAGGGCGCTGCAATACGGAAAAGAAAACCAGACATTTTTAAGCCGGTGGACCACGTGACCGACTTCGCATCGCCATGGTAAGCAGTGAAAATGGGCGTAGCCCTCCGTTCCCTTTCTTACACTTTCACGTCCCCTCCCCCTCTACATGACTGGTTGCTGTCTCTCGTATTGCAGTAGTAATCAAGACTGACAGGTACCCACACTAACGCCAAGCGGGTTTGCTGAGATGACTCCGTTCCCTCGCCCCTGTCATACGCAACCGCATATCAAACAAACAGTTTCCTTAGGTCAACGTTTGACTGGATAGTTCACCTTCTCTTAATAATAGGACAATAACCGTACGCATTTGAAGAGGTGGCCAAATTCCGTGACCTATAAATTCTGCGTGTTTCGTCCCCCTTTACCTCGTTCAAAAAGATGTTGGATATCCAACCAAGGAGATTTGGTATAGATAAATAAAACTCTTGTTCCAGCGATCGCAGCTTCTTTTTCTGAACTGCTTCCTGGAACTCACATATTCGCTTATATTGGCCGTGAGGACTGGTCTTGAAAAATTCCATTGCTAAAGAAATGTCACCTTGCCTCGCCAAAGGCTATAAAACCCTTCCAATCCTTGCCTTTCATTGAGGAAAAAATACACTGAAAAAGCCCATCTTGCGAAAGATGCCTAAATTGGTCAACAGAAGACCATGCAAACAAAAATAATAGAGAAATGACCGAGTGCAATGCACAACCGAGTGATGAAGCGCCCACAGGGGGCCCCATCAGGGGAAAGCAATTGCCCAATCAAGTAGGAACCCACCTCGTAGGAGAAGGGGATGGAAATGCCCGGCTTGAGGATCACGGGACCGCTGGTTGTCAGGGTGACACGAATGATGGAATCACGGTTATAGTGGATTTCGAGAAGTTTGTGCGTCCAGAGTACGGCCTCGCCGTGCTCATTGGTTTCACCCAAGACGGCCAGGATGAGTAAATCATCGAGATACATCTGGTACCAGTACTTATTGTCCACGGCATGCTTCAGAGCTTTGTAGCCTTCGGGCGTGAGATCAGTCGTACAGAAGACAGTCTTTGGCACGGCCTCTGAAAAAAAGAACAGACAAACAGGAACGGAGGTGTAGATTAAACCAATGTTCGATATTAGAAGAATTTGAGTAACGCAAAGGCACATTTCGATGACGTCATACAAATTTGTGACCGTTTATTCAGCTGCATATGCTTATTAATAAGATAAAACAAACTCACGAATAAAAGCAAATATGCGTGCCCCAGGTTGTTGTTGTTGTGGTATTCGTGATTGGTCGCATGTTCATGCCGTCTTCTCGTTTCGCCTCTGCGCGCGTCTTTGGATTATAGAAAGGCGACTAACACAAAACAGGTGGTCAGCTTTCATAGCAACCACCCAATGGCGTATAAACGCGGCCATGTTAGTGCACTCTTACAGAGAGCAAAAACAATGCAGTGAACCTGA